GAACGAGAGCACAAAACTGACTTATTTAAGACAAATATTATTTTCCATTGTTCTGAAAGAGAAAATAATGGCATCAGGGGCGTACTGTGGTGATTTAATTATGCAAATATTAAATTCTGGCCTAGTTTGCTAACTGCAAAGACAATGGGAGGTCAAAAACAAGTTTTAAACCTTAATTTATATAAGTATATTTTATGTGATATTTTGATAAAATTATTCTTAATTCAAAAATATTATACAGGGTGTTCCATCTCAGACGAGCCACCCCGTATATTTCTTATCCCATAGTAATTGGAAAAATTTCCCGAAACACGTCGGATGATTTTCTTTGGGGGACATATTTTGACGTATATTTGAGGCTTGAACGAGCAACCCCCTATGAGGGGGTGCTTCAACCCCTTAAAATTGAGTATGGAAGAGGGGTTAAGTGATACTTTCCTGGAAAAGGACAGGACTTTGCATTTGTTAGTATTCAAAGATACAATCATTTCATTTCATTGCGTATACCTCGCCCTTAAATACCGAAGAATGTTTTCCTATAGCATAGCTATGGTTAGTATCAAGGTTAGACCCGTCTGTATACCAGGTTTGTTCCTGTCGTTGGGCATTGGGCTCCCTTATCGTGATCTCCGCTCTTTCCTGTGTCAATTCCTATAAATTTATTTGTTTGTTTAGATTCCTGGAGATACGAAATATTAACAGTTGATTATTTACAATTTTCATCATTTTCTTCTTTTACTCTATCTTTAAATCATATATAGTAAGTTAACTTTCCAACACTGACTCCACGAGAACGTTATCAAAAAATAATGCTGTTGAAGAGAGAGAAATAGAATACAAACACATTTTGGAAATCACTCAATACTTGAATCTTATTATTTGGAACACAGACTTGAACATTATTAATTGAAATCCAGACTCAAGTCTTGCCTCGCAGCTCATCTTTTTTTTTTCGGGCCTGTCTGACTATGTCTCCGAATAACACTGAAGCCTATTGGCTTATTGTGTTTTACCCCATGTTAGTTCATAGCACCCACTCTGTCACCTTTGTATCTTGTACAAGTTTTGTACAGATCATTGGGTGAGTGGGTTCTATACGTTGTTGGATCAACCTGGGGTTGTCCAAAAAGAGCCTGTCTTTTGCGATTTAGAGCTTCGCATTCGCACAGTATGTGTTTGGCCGTTTCTGGTTTCTTGTGACATAGTCGGCACATGAGTTCCCCATTGTACATGCCAATTTTGTTCAAGTGTCCCTTTACTGGGGCGTGCCCAATCATGAACCCTGTTATCACTTTCAACTAGTTCCTATTCATAAAGAGTAGTTCTCCAGTTCTTTTGGGATATGGTCTGCCTATGAAGGCTTTTCCATGTGCCTGTTTTAGGGTGCTTCCCCAATAGTGGATATGTTGTTCCCGAATCCAGTCGTTTATGAAACCCCGGACTGTACTTTTTGGTACTCCTGGGTTTGTGTCTGGTTCCGGTGTTTCTTCTGACACTCTTTTTGCAAATTCATCAGCCTTTTCGTCGCCTTTGATCCCTTGGTGACCTGGCACCCAAAATAGTTTTACTATATTTCGGTCTGCCAGTGTTCTTAGTTCTTTGATGCATTCCCATACCAGCCTCGACGTAACTTTCTGACTCGATATGGCCTTAAGTGCCGCTTCGCTGTCTGACATTATTTGAATATGCTGATTTTCGACAGCTCTTTCATTGTTCGTTTTTGCACATTGCAAAATTGCGTATACCTCGGCCTGAAATACCGAGGAATGTATTCCTATAGCATAGCATCAGGGTTAGACCCGTCTGTATACCAGGTTTGTTCCTGTCGTTGGGCATTGGTCTCCCTTATCGTGATCTCCGCTCTTTCCTGTATCAATTCCTATACATTTATTTGTTTGTTTAGATTCCTGGAGATATGAAATACTAACAGTTGATTATTTACAATTTTCATCATTTTCTTATTTTAGTCTATCTTTAAATGATATATAGTAAGTTAACTTTCCAACACTGACTCCAGGAGAACATTATAGAAAAATAATGCTGTTGAATAGAGAGAAATAGAATACAAATTTTGGAATTCACTCAATACTTAAATATTATTATTATTATTTGGAACACAGATTTGAACATTATTAATTGAATTCCAGACTCAAGTCTTGCCTCACAGCTCATCTTATTGGCAACGGGTTTTTTTAATTTTCCCATTCCAGTAAATCCAGTAATGACTATTAAGTATCTAGATCATTTAGAAAGAAATATATTTGACAATAAAATAATTAACTTAGTAAACCATGTGGCTGGTCCGACTATGGTGGACACAATGGCACTATTGGACAAGAAGGAAGAATAAATAACACAACAACGCAATAAAGCAAATTGTATAACAATGTCTCGAGCTTGATCGTGCGGTTTCAACAATGGACGTGAGCCATGTCTGTCAAGTAACGGCCCTGTTGAAGGAAAGTGATGAAAAAATGGATTGTCCATAAACTAGATAGGCATCGAACAAAAGAACATGCAATTAATGAGATACGATAAACTCGGTGATCGGGTCAGTCAAGTAATTTTGTCGGAATTTTGAAAAATTGATTCACGAAAAATGTTAGGATATACATGGTTTATTTTCTAGTATATAGGCCAACAAATGTCGAGTTATTTATTTGCCTTGAAAACTACTTCAACTTTATATGATTTAAAATAAAATATTGTTATGGAAACCTCTCTCTAGTTTCCAATCAACAAAAATCTCAATTTCGGGGTGGGTTCCAAAAGCTCTAAAATATTTTATATAATTAATAAAATAAAAAAAATTAATTCTTTGTTTTCTTCCTTCTTCTTGCTCATAGTTCACCTCTACCTATCTCTATTGTCTTTGCCTGTTTCTGTGTGTATGTTTATTACTACTTGTGTGCTATCTTCTACCGTCTCTGCTTTTAATTGTATTTTTCTCTGCTTTCTGATTTTATAAATAAAACTTATTTACCTTATTTTCAACTTTTCTCTTTATTTTCATAAATTAAAAAATTAGTACAATTTAATAATCCTTTTGTCTATGACTTTACATTAACGTTATTCAAAATTCCCCCTTTTAATTTTTCTAAAATTCCAATCCCTCTCTGACATTTTTTCCCCTCTGACAATAATTATTCATCAAAATCCTTATAAAAAACAAAAACATCCCTCCAAACTACTTATTGTGTTATAAAATTTTCTATACCTCACCCCGATATTGCTATTGCCAATTTTATGACGTCATCTAGAAATTTCCATACCAAGTCCACCAAATTAATTGACACATATGTCATCTTTGCAAAAAACATATTGTAAACATCAATTTACCAATTTATTAAAATCACATAATTTTTACTTTTAAATTTTCAACTTCTATGTTTTTATTGACAACCAGGGCTAACATTTAATTAATCGTACCATCATAATTCTACAATTACGCAATACTACAAACACATAAAACTTTAACATTGATATAAATATAATTCTTCAATATTAAAAATCCCCCCTATTCCCTCATTTTCTCATTCACATATTTAAACACAACTATTCTCTCCATTTTCATTATCACAATATATGGTCCCTTATACGGATACTGAAACTTCGCAGAAAAATATAGAAATGTAGAGAAATATATTTATTATATCGTTCCATCCATCATGGCTTTGTCAGGTTGTCATTTTTTCAAAAAAATAATGTTAATATTAAAAAATCATGTGGCAGTTCATTACTGAAATTAAGGTATAACTTAAGGTATGTGCCTTAGAATGTTCGACTGTCTCTGCTAATTATACCTTCTATTTTTAAATCTAAGTTAGTTTGGTTTTACAAACAAGCATTGAAATTATCATTGCTGACGAGAATAAAGTTGGGACTCTCTGTTGGCTTACTAATAAATTTACCAGTAAATACAAGATACTATATTTAATTAAATGATAAATCGTTTTATTATAATTAGAGGTTGTTAAAAAATATATATCATTTACCATAAATCACGGAACCATTTACTTTCTTAGATCTTTTCACCCCAATTAATTTTCCTCTTCGCGGAAGCTGTGATTATTCCAAATTAAAAAAACTACAAAACAATTAAAAGCAACAATTACTACGTAATACCGACACATAATTTTTCACAACACCTAAGACTAACCGATTTGGTAATTCTTATAAATAATTTACTTTTCACAGACCGTGATATAATTCTGCCCGTACTTTTTCAACCACAGGCTGTTAATTTGACCATAATTAATTTAAACAAAAACCGTATAGCCAGGAAGTGTAAAAAAATCGTTGCGATATGGATATAATATTATGATGATGAAGAAATTAAAATATTTCGTTTTCATTATCATTTTTAAAAGTTTCCGCAAACTTGAAATTCATCGGTGCTGCGTGAAGGTTGATACCCGCATTTTAGTTAAAATAAACTACAATGAAATTCTTTAATTAATCTATTTATTTTAAGGAAGTATTTGGATACGTTTGTATTTTGCTAACCTAATCTTTTAAAACATTAAATGTGAATCATCATTTAAATCTACTAACAAATTAAAATTGATATCAGAAATAACTAAAGCCGTCAAGGTCATACAAACGTTCTGTCAGAAGTATCTAAGGGTGCGTACATCCCGAAGATGCCTCGATGATCGATGGCTAAGTAGATGTCAATCGATGTAACACAAATGTACTGATTTAAATGAGAGATTAGCACATCTTCGCACCATCACACTATGGTACAGGAGATCCTAAATCTGCCCAAAATTAACAAATAATGAAAATAATAAATTGACAAAATTAGTAGCATAATTTATTTGACAAATCATCAGCTCATATTATTATTCCATAAATATTTCACTTAAATATCTAGAAAGCTGCGCGTCAAGACAAGCGAAATTGACATTGTGTGTCATTTTTGTTTATTCTAACAGTTTGTAGGTGAAGTTTGTAAACGTGCGATATTAAAACGATTATTTTTTTGATTAATTTTGATAATGGCCAATATTGATCAAGGTAAGGTTAATTTGTTTATGTAAAATACATTGAAACCTTCCGTAATTTTAAGTCGTAATTATTTAAAATCTAGTATATGATCTCTTTTTTGCAATTTATTTACTAAACATAAAGGTACACAAAAGTGTCAGGAAGTGTCAGATCTAATATGGGCATTTTCTATTTCTTTGAAATCTACACTGATTTTCTATAAGAAAACAAATTGCGTATCACCGCGTAAATAGAATTTTTTGGCTTTAAAACTTTACCCATGCTGGGTAATCTAAAAAAAAATTTTTTTTCTATGTTTCGAAAATTGTTTAACTAGTCATATATTTTGCAATTGTCTGTATGAAATAAGATAATAATAGCATTCTTAAAGTTTATAGCACGAGTTTGACTTTTAAAATTGTCTGAGGGTAAAAATTAAATTATAATATTTTTAATACTTTATCTTCTTGCAATTTAACTAAAAACTCAAAACAGTTGAGTATCTTATTGTTTTAGACGTTTTGCGACTCAATAATGAAGGACTTTTCAATGTTTGGCTCTCCCAAAATAACCCTATCCCTAAACCCGTTGCTGCCGCCAATTTTGTTTTGAGAAATTATGATGAAATTGTATCAGAATGTTACATTAAACATGTACGGAATAAATCACGTTTATTTTGCGTTCACTTGAAATCAAAATGGTCCAAAGTTGACAGAAATAAATCAGCTTTTTTGAGTAAATTCAAAGGATGGCTATACGATCTTTCAGAAAAGTAGAGAGGCAACAATTATAAATAATAATTTGTTGACCGCACGATCAGCACCAGCAGGTCGCCCAAAATTGCCATTTTCCGACAAAAGTCTAAAGTCACAAAAACGAGATGAATTGAAATTGTCGAAGGAGAATGAACACGTTACCAGTTTAATTGTAAGTGCCGCCGTAGCTACTGCAACAGCAAGTGAAAATAAAGACTTAGAGAAACTACTAAAAGTCCCACAAGAGCTTCTAAAATAAAAAAATGTGTTATTTTCTACCAAGGCCAAGGATCCAATTAAATACACCCCTCAAGAAGCGTTATCACTTCTACTCAACAACAGATTTACTAAGCAGCAGTATATAGCTATCCTACTGAGCAGTAAAAATAAAAATTGTGATATATACCCGTCCTACCAGCAAGTTTTAGAAGCTAAATCAGAATGTCGACCAAATAAAATCGAAATTACTGAAAATTTGGCAAAAGTACCACGTACCACAAACTGGATTTTCATATTACAGGAAGATGTAATATCCAGAATTACCATAGACAAACATCAAGTTTCTGCAACTCTAGTAGCAAGTTATGGTTTTGATGGCAGCTCTTGACATTCTGAATATAAACAGAAGTTCTTGAACGAAGCCGAAGGTTCACAAGATTCCAGTGTTTTTGCAACTACGCTTATACGACTAAGACTGACTACAAGTAATGGTGTTGTTATTTGGAATAATTTAACTCCTCAGTCACTAAGATTTGTAGACCAGTCAAACTTTAATATGCGCAAGAAATCAAAGAACATATCATGAATGAAAAAAATAGTTTAGAGAAGGAAATTCAAAAGCTTAAACCATTTGAATTTACAGTAAATAGATGTCAAGTAATAATTGTATTTCATCTCTGCCTTACATTAATAGAGACGGTAAAGTTTTAAGTACCCTAACTGGAACTAAATCGAGTCAGGCATGTCCAAAATGCGGGGATTCAACGACTTCATGTCCGATATATTTAAACCTAAAGAAAGTGTGCTTCAGTACGGTATCAGTCCACTTAATTGCTGGATTCATTTTTTTAAATGTGTAATCCACATTTCCCATAGATTAAATTTAAAAATGTGGCAAGTTCGGGGCAAGACAAATAAAGCTGCGTTGGCTATGTAGAAAAAAAATGTACAAAGGTTGTTTTGGGAAAAGCTAAGCCTACATGTAGATAAACCAAAATCTATTGTCGTTGGGTCTACTAACGACGGAAATACTGCCAGTTAAGCATTTCTAAATTATGATTTGTTTTAAGATAATACTGGGGTGTCCTGTAATTTAATTAAACGCTTTTGGATAATACTGATGTCAATGGCATATCAACTTCCATTGAATTTGAATAAATTTTAAATCTACTGCTTCAAAACCGGTCATATTTTTATGGAACTCTATCCATGGTTTCCGATGCCCGCATCTATTCATAAAGTTCTCATACACAATAAACAAATATTGGAAAAATGCATTTTACCAGTTGGATTTTGGGAGAAGAGGCATCATAATCCAGAAACAAAATTTATAAACAAGACCGAGAATATCATGCCCGAAAAAAACAGCAGAGTTAATAACTTAACTGACATTTTACAAAGAGTATTGGATACATCAGATTCTCTAATATTATCTTTGTCACTTCAATCGCGAAGATTAAAACTTAAAATTAAAAAAAATACCGGAAGAAGTTCTTAACTTTCTGGAATCATATGCCCCATCTGAAAATCTAAATATAACAACAGATGATACATCAGATGCTTTTGATTTAGAAAGATTTCTGGGTTCCGGATTAGATAGTTTAGAGTTAGACAGAGAATTACAGAATATTTAGTTGAATTTTCTTTGTACATTTAAGTGCTAATAAAAGTTTCCATTTATCCTTTCTGTGTCTCATAATTTATTTTTACATTATTTAGTGACCTTAAAGCTTAAATTTTAAAGTATCATCAAAAATTATATAAATTTGTTGTGGGCCTCTTTAAAATGTTTATATTTTGTTCAGACAGTGTTTAGGAACCAAAATTATATTGAAACAAATAAGTTTATTCAGCCTCGGAATATAAAAGAATTTTGGGCAAAATAGTGGGCTTCTGTACCATAGTGCATTTGTGTTACATCGCTTAACCATCGACTATCGTTAATCGATCATCGGTATCTTCTGGCATCTTCTGGCTTTTGTTATTCCTGTCGATAAAGGAAGATAACATGAAATAGACCGAATAAGAAATGAGAAAATTAGAAATTCAGACGAGCAACTACCAGTAACATTGTTTCGGACATGTAAGAGAGAAAAAATGTACAATAATTGATTTTTTCGACGATTTTGACGTTCTCTACGGACAATAGAACTAAAGAAATCAATAGCAATTATTACTTATTTTCTGAACTAACGCAATTTATAAAACCATTTACAAAAAATGCAATACCTATATAGATAAAAAAATCAGTTTGAGAAAAAATCGAACAATGTAAAATGTCAAGCAATCAATCAATAATAGCAATTAACATTCTTTTCATTGATACGTTACTCTGCAACGATTATATAACACTTTTAACACAATTGAGTTTTATTAGCTGTGGACTTTTTCAAAAACAAACAATGAGAGTAAAAACTCGCCAACTGCCATAGCGGGAGCTGAGCCTCCAATTATGGAAAAAAAGAAACTATCGCGTTTTCATTATGCTGCTCTCTTTGTTGAAAACGATTGTGATAATCAATTATGTCGAATAATGAACAGTTACGTATTATGCAACTGATATTCCCACTGCATTTTTAATCTTTTTCATCTAGTATTTATGGAATTCTATAACATATTTCTTGTAAAATGGTTTCCTCATTTCCTTAAGAATGTGATATATAATATGACTTGCAGTAAACAAAATAAGTCTCATGTTCCACATAATTATTCATAAGAACTGATAAAGTTTATCTTGAAAATGTAAAGGAAATGGGTGCTATTTATTTAGTTCATTAAACTAATACGTATACGAGTAATTATAATAATTAATATACGACTATTACATTTCGAAAAGTATGTTTCTATTTTTACCAAGAATTGTAGAATTATTAAGGATAGTAGAGACATATTGCAAATTTCTATAATATCACCCACTAATAGTGCCAACGCAATTATAGGCAAGTAAATTCCGTGCTAAAATAAAACATATTGCAAACCTAAAGTTTTGACATTAGAGTCCTTATCCTTACACAAATTCCTAACCTCATTTTAAAAACTTTAAATTATAGTTCATATTTGTTTATGCACATAATATAGAAAAGGCTTTCGAAATGGCCATTTTAGGGGATAAAGATGATGATTAGATATGTAATATTAGAAAACTTTGAACTAACAGTAATACTGGAAATAGTAGACATCAGAAACTTGAAAGATTTTAAATATACAATAAATTATCATTTTACAATGCTCTCACATCCCTTTAATCTTAAATATTCAGCAAGAACTAGATTTCTGCCTTTGACTTTGTTACTTACTAATAGGAAATCAGTTTTGATCATTCATTCTGTTTTCTTTCGAACAAAAATGAATAAAATATAACTAACAATCCTATTTGGTTAAAACGTTTTAACTTCACGTTACTATTTAATGGTATTTTTTTATTTTGACAGATTATGATAATTCTTCAAAGATAACTTGTCATACATTGAAGAAGTTAGATGTAAAAAGTTGGAACAAAGAATACAAATAAATAAAGAAGACATAGCAAAGGTAGAAATAGAAATTTAAGAAAAAGAAATAAACAAAGGCAGCGTCAAAATATAGAAAAAGATGGAAATAGGAATAAATAAAATTAAAGAAAAATGAAAAGAGATTTGAAGGAAAGGTGAAAAAGAAAATGGAAGAAAATTAGAAAATAAATTACAGAGAAAATTAGAAGACAAGATAAAATAAAAAACAAAACATATGGACCAGAAAAAGAAACATAAACGTATTATAACAAACAAAAATAAAATAAAGGATAAAATTGAAACAGATACAGGGGGATAAAAGAAATAATAGGATAATAAGTAAATAAAATGAATCTAAAACAGATACAGAAGGAGTATGAAAGGACAAATCAAACAGTAAAGAAATATAAAATGGGAATACAGTTAAAGCAGATGCGAAGCAGAAATAAAAGCCAAAATGTTTGAAAATAATTAAGAATCGGGGGTTGACAGAAAGGAGAGAGTGAGGTCAAAGATGAAAGAAAAATAATAAAGATGGGGGACGGGCATTTGGAATTTGAAATTAGCTTGAGAACATGGAAATCGAATAAATACATTTAATAGAATAGAGTAAAATATTACAGATAAAAGAGTAAGAGAGCAAGAGAAAATTAAAATGGATATCTGGTACAGTAAAGGTAAAAGCAGAAAATAGAGCAATATAAGTTGAATGAGGCAGAAATTAAAGAATTTGTGCATATAAGAAGAGATATACTCGTATACAGATGAATTGTTGCTATAAAAGTAAAATATAAAGTTTATGAATAGATTATGATTTAAGAGGAAGACGTATATGTGTATTGTGTGTTTTAATAAGTAAAATAAATGTGGTATAATAAATAATATGATAATTAAAAGGGAGAATGTTATAAATAGATTGTGATAAATAATTATAAAATGAAGATAAGAAACGTATGAAATGGTAAAACGAATTTAAAAGGGAAATATGAAGAAAAGTAAGATATAAAAAAAGATTAATGAAAATTGATATATGCACAAAATAAATAGGGCAGAGAGATACATTAAGGAAGTAAATAAGTTTAAGAAAATATTAATGGAACATGATCATACAAAATGGGAAAATCATATTAAAGAAGTAGAAAAATGCTTTTAAATAATATTTCAAGCACAATTACAGAGGAAGCTCATAAGATGAGATTAGAAGGTGTCCACGTTTGATATTGAAGATAATTTGTTATCAATAAGATAATGAATATTTTGATCGAATTGAAGAAGAAATACTATTATAGTTTTCTCCGTACTGTTTATAAAAATATATTTAATAGTTTAGCGATTATACATAGAATGAAATTATTAATCGACTGCAATTATTTTAATTTATTAGTCAATTAGTAACTGTTGCTTGAAGGTGAGCTTAATTACTTACTCTTCGTTGTCAATTAGGTTTTAATAGTTTACACTTCTTCTTTGATTGATTAGAGTTAAAAATTGCATTTTCAAATTGAAGTCATTAAAAAATATGTATAAACGTTGAAGTATTTGCTATTGAAGTTTTACTTGAAATATTATGTGTGGTTAATAAGTTTTATGCTCGAATTCATCTTATGCACGATTATAATGCAGTAGATATTTAATATTATTAAACATGTGCTCCCAACAAAAAGTTTTGCATATACAATTGAATGGAAATTTCTCTCGGTTGCCTGTGAGATGTTTTGACTAGTATAACCACTTTCTTCTATCTTCATAATTTGCTTGGAATGTGCATATATACGTCGCGACTTGTGTTCGATGTTGTTTTATTTACTCATTATGGTGAGATGTTAGAAATCGAATGGAATTTTCTTCACTTCGCAATCTGATTTTATCATCTGATTAGAACATCAAGTTAATTATT